TCCCAGCGCTTCTGGCTGCTGCTACTGACACGGGGGCTGGTGGGGGTGGGGGAGGCGAGCTACTCCACCGTGGCCCCCACCATCATCGCCGACCTCTTCGTGGGCGACCGCCGCAGCCGCATGCTCGGGTTCTTCTACTTCGCCATCCCTGTGGGCAGGTCAGGCAGGGGCCTGTGGGGGGCGGGGGCACCATGGGGCTGTCGCTGACCCCCCTGCCTCCTTCCACTGCAGCGGCCTAGGCTACATCGCAGGCTCCAAGGTGAAGGATGTCATGCACGACTGGCACTGGGCGCTTAGGGTGAGCTGGGGCAGTGCAGAGGCAGCGTTGTACCCTCTCCCCCCTGGCATGAAGCAGGGGTGGGGCAGCCCTAGGGGTGAGATTTATGCTGGAGGGGGTGGGGCCTGGGTGTTAGGAGCAGGGCCTAAGCCTAGTGGGAGCAGCAAGGGCCCATCAGGGCAGGGTAGGTGGGGCCTCAGGCCTGACCCCACCCCCTCCCTCCCACAGGTGACCCCTGGGCTGGGAGTGGTGGCAGTGGTGCTGCTGCTGCTGGTGATGAAGGAGCCGCCACGGGGGGCCGTGGAGCGCCATGGCCCCCCATCCCCACTGCACTACACGTCCTGGTGTGACGACGTGCGAGCCCTGGCACGCAAGTGAGTGCGTGGCTGGGGGAGGGCCTGGGGTGGTGGGGCCTGGATCTGGGTCTTACTGCCCCTGTGTGTTTCAGCCGGAGCTTCGTGCTGTCCTCGCTCGGCTTCACGGCTGTGGCCTTCGTGACAGGGGCCCTGGCGCTCTGGGCCCCAGCCTTCCTGCAGCGTGCCCGGCTGGCTGCCGGCGCGCCGCCCGCTGATGACAGGTCAGGCACTGACCCCTGGTGTGTGTGCGAGGAGCCTGCGCTGTGGTCTGTGCTTTCCTGGCACGTGTGCAGCGCTTGGTTTGTTTGCTGGTGTGTGAGAGATGTTTGAGCTTTGACCTCTGACTTTTAACTCTGTGTGTGACGTGTGTCCTGTGACCTCCGGCCTGCCTGTGAGCTGCCTGATCTCTGATGTTGGCCCCTTTGCATGTGTGCAAGGTGCCCAACACACGATCTTGTTTTTTGCCATGTGTGAAGAGCCTTTGTCGTGCGTGTAAAGTTCATGAACTTTGATCTTTGATGTCTGTGCGAGGTGCTTGGTTTCTGACCCATGGCACCTTTACAGTGCCAGAGCTTAAACCCATGACCCCTGGCCGTGTGTGTGTGTGCGTGTGTGTGTGCGTGCGTGCGTGATGCTTGTTCTGTGCCTCTGGGCCTGGCGCCCCCTGACCCATGCCCTGTGCCTACAGCCTGGTGTTCGGGGCAGTGACCTGCGTGACGGGGGTGCTGGGCGTGGGGGCAGGCGTGGAGCTGTCACGTCGGCTGCGGCTCC